ACAACTCGCCATCGGCCACCTAAACGACTCTCTTCTGTGCCTAGACGCCCGACCTGAGCATTCAAGTCTCCGGCTAGTACTACAATATCTGTCGAATGCACATTCTGGAGAAGAACAGATAACTAGTGGTAGGATTCATCCTTGATTGCATCTGGGCTGCAATCTGTCGGGGCATAGGCGGAGGTGACGAAAAGACATCGTTTCTCACGCTTTGATGGAACTTTCTAATCTAACAGCACATAACCGACTGTTAATGGGGATCCAATCGATTAGTGCTGCCTCAGCTCTAGCGCTTAGTGCGACACCAAGGCGAGCAAGACCAGACAAAGATGCCACAGGGTCCACGGAAAAACACGTAAAACAATCTTTTTGAAGCGACAGATGAAGAGCGAATTTGTAGTACTTCATCAGAGTCTTGAATACGGGTCTCGGATAGACAACAAACATCGATATTAAAACTTTTCAAAGACATAGCCAGCCCTATCTGTTGTCCGACCTGCATAAGTGTACGAACGTTGAAGGCAGCCAGTTTGAATGGTGCACGTGGTTTCAGAAACACTGCTTCAGTACTCGTATTCGGTGGTAGCATACAATTTTCAACCAGGCAGTGACTCGAGAACGTTAGATAGAGCCGAATTTCCACCATAGGTGAGCTGCTCTATAAGTCGAAAAATAAGGATACACAGAGTGGGAATAAAAGAGAGTGAACAAATGACGTAGTAAATAATAATAATAATGTGAATCATTTGATTGTTAATCGCAGCAAGAAGAGTATTTTCCATAAATATAGACAGTTCATCATAATTATCTGTGGGCTGTCATACTGTCCCGGTACTTAAACCGAAGCAAGTGGTTTACTTTACTTATGTATTTGACGTTTGTCATAATATTCAGCTAACATTTCTAGTTGAGGTTAGTTTTCGTTGTAGATCGACATCAGTTAGAGATTACTAAACTGGAGTTTCGTTCTAATTTTCAATTCCTCATTAGTCGCCACCTACGTGATTTTTATCTTATGTCATTTCGCGTGGAAAACTATCTCTACAAACTGCCTAATCAATTAAGAATTGAAAATTCTCCGCTTGAAAGCTAAACAACGATAAGAGTATATACCACTCAATTTTCCGTAATATTGCTTTTTCCTATAGACTCACCCAGCTTCGAACCAACAGCTGTCTTGTTACTCATCCCAATGATGTTCGGAAAAGGAACTCGCATTAACCCACGTTATATTCCAGTGGTGTTGCGTCTATTTTCGGATCCAGCGTTTGTAGGCTTGATCGGTGGTCGTCGAAAACATTCCAGCTATTATGTTGGTTGTCAAAATAATTCGTTAATTTACTTAGATCCACATTTTACTCAACCAACTCAAAAACTGAATTCCCCTAAATTTTCAGTTGATGTAAGTATACTTTATTCATTTGAATGCAATTTTTAATCTAATGACCTATATATATGCGAGCTCAGCTTGTAAAAAGCTTTTGTAAAATTCGTAATATATTGAGATCTATTTATGGGAAATAAAGCATTGAAAAATAACAACTTTTCAAGTACACCAAAACATGTGTTCAGCGGCAACGGTTCGAACTTCAGAGGCGCTGACGCCCGTCTTGAACAGATTGTGTGTATTTGGGACCAGAATAAGATAGCAAATGCCCTTTTGGAAAGAGGTTGTAAATGGCACTTTAGCCCTCCGAGAGCTAGTCATCGAGGCGGAGTATGGGAACGGATCAATAAGAACTCTACGATCACTGCTGTTTCAGAAGGTATTGACGGACGAGTCCTTGCAGACGTTTTCAATAGAGACTGAAGGAATACTAAACAATCACACAGCTAGTTAATGATTGTGATAATATGGATGTGCTTACGCCAGATAAGTTATTGTCAGTTCATAGAGGTGTATCATTCGACAAAGCGCGGATTAGTAAAACGTGCTTATATAACAGATAGAAGGAAGTGCAACAACTAGCCAATCTATTCTGAAACAGATGGTTATGGGATTACCTACTAACCCTTCAGGTGAGATCCAAGTGGTTGGACATGAGAAGAAATCTACAACCGGGAGATTTAGCGTTAGTAAACAATACTGGCTCACCGAGAAATCTGTGGCCGGAAGCTATAGTTAGGTCAATTATGGTCCAGATGGATGAGTCAGAACAGTTCGACTGAAGACAGCAACCAAAGAGATCAGCCGGGATATACGGAACCTGTGCCTTTTAAAAGTGGTCGATTATTTGAGTCCAACAGTAGCCAAGTTCGGACGTGCTGTCCGCTTGGAGGGAATGTTAGTTATGTCCACAACTAACCAATCAAATAGTTGCTTAAGCTCCCACCACGTCAATCTGGTCTGATATGCCTGCAGACTATTCGTCCTGCATGTGACCTGCCAATTGAAGGACATTATTATCCTATTATATTAGTGTGATTCATAAATTCTATTCATTTCGATAAGACACGCAATACCGGTCGGTATGTTTGTGCGTCTCACTTAATGACTATAATTCCTTTAGTTATTGTAATAATCAAATTGTTATTTTTACGTTAAGGGTTGCAAACCATCCAAAGCCCAAACAACTCTTGGCTATGTATGTTGATGGAAAAGTCGAACGTATACAATTTCTCGTGTCTTGCAGTCGCCGACTCATTGTCCCAATTACCACTGAAGTGAATTCGGAGGAATCACAAGTGCACACACTCCTAACAAGAAACTTAAGCCATTGTCATGTTTGTCTAGCCCTTCAGGTGCTTATTGCATTCTGTCGACCAGATCGCAGTATCTCCACTAGTTCAAGTAGTGACATAGTGTACAATGTTAGATGATTAGAAGTCAATAGGAAATCCTTGACTTTGTGATAGTTGATACTCGTCAGCTAAGAGTGCCAATAAGTCAGTCGTAGCCCGGTAGTAACGTCTCAGTTTGTTTGGGTATCGCGAGTTCGAACCACACAAGGAACATCGGTTCACTCAAGACTACACGTACGCCTTCCTAAGTGTGAACTAACACGGAATTTAGGCTCAAGGTTTCCTGTCGATTACCTCCAATCACTCAACAAAAGACTCGGAGTTTAGAAAAACAAAACAATAAGATCTAATTAGAGCAAGAACAAACATTGATGCAGAATAGTATGAATTCATATTATTTCGAGGTTTCTCCTCAGCTGCTTACAAACCAAAATTGTTTAGAACAATAGGAACGGAGACGAGCAAAGTTTTTGCCACAAATGGGAACTAATTTTTGAAGGGATGGGACTGATGTACTTAGGATTTTGTATACAAGTTTTTATGGTGCCACTCCACGTATTTATTGGACATACGACGTATAGACATATACTTCTGGAACTTTTGTCACACTATCAGTATTCAACATTCCTAAGTTTACTGGTTACTTTTCATTATAGCATTTAGCTCATAAAAGTTACGAAATATAGTAAAGTATTGGGTGAAATATTCATCAAGTTTACCATTTAGTTAGTGCTTATTTACTTTGCCAACCATGTGATTCCTCAAAATTTTGACAGTAGCCATTACATTTCCTATATTAGTTTTAAACATTGTACAAAACCAAGCAAAAAGTTACAAAAGTAGCGTTTTTATATTGCCATAAAAACAAAAATCAGGTATACAATCTAGTAGGAATACTCAACCCCTTTAGTCTTTCAATAATCCTTATTGTGACATAAATACCAAATGTTTCATCAGCGATGGGAGAAAAATATTCAAACGAAAAACTTATTCATGCTAATGATATCAAGAAGTTCAAATAACTAATTATGGTGAATGTAATTATAAAAGTCTCATATACTAGACACGTTTCTCGCGGCAAAATGAATCTCCTAACAAGTTCATTGCTAACTTGAAGTCGGCTACGAGAATCAATATTAAGAGGGTTCTAAGAAGTGTTGTACTGAGTTTTGAAAATTTTATGTATCTCCTTATGTACGTCTGAATAATAATTATTCCCTAAGAATATATATATAGGTGAAAACATAACTATTATCCTTGCAACCTGAACAAAAGCATCCTAACTCACTATTTGTAAATCACAATTTATCTGTACTTTATGCTTTATATACCAAGTTTACTGGACTTCTCCATTGCTACTTACTACATTGGCGAATTTCTGACATACATTGGATAGAAATCCCAAATTAGTTAGTAAGTCTGTCAGTTCACGCTCCTTGGTCAATCACACTCACTTTTACTAACCACGCATCAATTATCCGGCCTAGTTCGTCGTTCTAGATCAATAAAAATCCCTACTAATTATTATATTCGTTTTCACATTATGAGTTTCCATACCAGCAATGGTTCTTATTATTTTAAATAACTTGATATTCTGAATATCTATTTTTCAGTCTTGGTACTGTCCTATTCCTAAAACAATGAATGCATCGAACCTAAACTCTTCTTGCGCTGTTGGATTCTACTGCAGGACTAGAGGAGAACTAAGTGACCTTATTGATAGATTACCTACCCTTATGTCAGTAAGTAATAATCTCCAGGCATCAACCAGAAGCCGACCTGTTGCATTCACTGTTGAGGTGCTAAGTCTTGACAAGTCGAAAAACAGACCTTCGTAGCAGTATGTACTTTTTTTAAATGAATTACTTCAAATGTATTACTTCATTATATTAGCAATTATTATCTTAATAGTGTTATACATGGCTCCACATTTGTTTTTCATCAAAATGAACTCTGTTTAATAAAAAGTAACTAGTAATTGAAATAAGAATTATTTTAGGGTAACTGTATAGCTTCGCAAAGATTTAATGCAAGTATTGCATTACAAGTGGAACGCTGCCATGTTTGGATACTGTATTCTGGAAAAGTTATATTGACAATAATAAATCCAGTGGTTCTAATGCAACAGTATATAGGGAAAAATTATTGGTTACCATCGAAATGACATATATGTTGTCACATATGTGTAGGATTTCAGGGAATGTTAGTTTTTACTTGAATATTCAAATGCACTAAAAATTGGTCGAAAAGTCTTTCAACTAGTCACACATATCAACTTCATGGGGACCTAAAATTCCAGGAATACAAGCTTGACGTCTTAGTTTTGCTGCTTGTGCCTGAGCAATCTCAGCTTCTCTTTCTTCCAAATATAAATCAGATAAATCTTCTCCAGCGACCTCGCGTATCTGAACAAGGAAGTCGCGTACGTGTTCACGAAATGCTGCTACATCTTGATCAAATGAAAATAGTCCATCAATGAAAACGCGAATCTGTGTTTCTTGAAGGTGAGGGAATACTTGCTTTAGTAACTGACTCAAGCTTTGATGTACATATTGTACATTTACTTTTGAACCTTGTACGGTCGTTGACTCAGGAGCATCACTAAGAGGGACTGTGATTATGTCGTTCTCCACTATTTTAAACATATAAGCCAACAGCGATGACTGAAGAGTTAAATCTAAAAAGTATTACAATCGTGAGAAACAGTCAAGTTGATATCTACGATAAGACATTTAAAATATAATGGGGGTTTCTATTAACAGATATACCGAAACACCTACTAAATGACAGGCTTCACAACATTACATGCCTGATCGAACAATAGATAATTCATGATTAGGCTGGGATAACAAAGGTGCTAAGATTAGTAAAGTGAAAATAGATACAGTTGTGTGTCTACGGATACAAATCTTTCCAATTCGATAGATATTATCGAATGAATTTATTAGGGAGTAGCATGCTTAGACCTTATTTTGTGTGCAATCACAAGGCAGTGACTTCGTAACTTGGAGGTTTTCAGCAATAAAGTTACAGGCTTGTACTCGCTCCACTTATTTGAAGCGGAAAATTTATACGAAATAAAATATACCACTTAAAATTTTAAGTTAACACACGAAAGAAAGATGGCTCATAAGTGGTTGAATCAGCTATTAATTAGCAAAAATTTATGTTACACGTGTTATGGCATTCAATACATAGTCGTATGCAAGTCAACACATTAGGGTGATCCCTTGTGATGAACTACTGAGTTCCATTTACATCGCACTACGAGTCATGTGAGCTGATATTGTGACAATACACTTTTAAGGTATGCGATCTAATACGAAATAATAGCTAGAAGCTTGTCAGTAAGCTTCTAAAGATAATCTGCAGACAAATCCAGTTTGCTTTGGGAAATGAAATATCTATGAACTTTAAAATAAACAAAAAACTGACCATACAGACTGAAGTTACTGGGTTTGTCAAATACTCACTTCCTGTTTGGGAGCGGTCAGTAATGACAGCAAACATATGTTGAAGAATATCCATAAAGAATGTTTTAAAGAATACCTGGCGTTTTTCGGAGTTCGCGCTAGACATATTTACAAGCATTGTATGCAGGATATTGAGTCCCGTTTCTGAGACCTGAAATATATTAAATCGTTAGTAGGATTGAATCAACTCACTGAATAAGTCAATTGTTAACGAAATTAACATTTCCATTCATTAAAAATGCACCACAATGATCAGCGCTAACGTCAACTATGATTTTTAGTAAACAATCACTGTAATAAAATACATGTGAACGATTAATTTGTCGGATCTTGTGTTTGTAACCAATAATGAAAATAAGTCATCTTCGGCTTGAAAAAATTCTAGCTTTCAGACGTATTGTTTTTCAAAAGGATTTCTATCTACATAATCTATTCGCAGCTTAGAAAGTTGGTCGTTTTTTTTAAACGAAGACTTCACTAACAGATGATATACAGTTAACGTGAGACGAGATATCCTGTGTATCTTCAAAGTAAACATTCGTAAAGAACCAAACTTTCTCTGTGCAAATCACATTTGAATTTCATTCCCAGAACAGTTACTCCTAATTATGTATAACAATAATGCTGGAAAATTATTCACCATCACACTAAGTGAATAAAATAAATCGGCGAAAATTCACTTATTTGTCATCGTCTGTTATTTTGAGAAAACAAAAATAGCAATACTTCATATACGGAAGTGGGAGGTTTGGGGAACCAGTCATATAATGTAAGGAATATAACAGAGAGTTATACTCTGGTTTATCCGTTGTCATAATTAGTATTTCATATCGATATTGATAGTGACCTGGAAATAAAAATTGGTCAACGTTTTTTTAAATTTTTTTATGTATGAAAACGTTTTGTACTTAGCTTAAAATACTAAACTTTTGTCCAAATCTAGAACAACTAGTGTATCTAGTTACCGTTCTCCAATTTTATCCATTTACATACACTCATTTCATGTAGATCCAAAAATTATGAGTCTACATAAGCAAAACAAAATGTACATCGAAGTACACACAATAACTGTTAAGAACCATAAGTTCAGAAGACAGACAAAATATTAGTATCAAGCCATTAAACATAACCAAAGTTGAAATCATTAAAATAAATCAGAAAGAATACCAGTTTGTGACGAGTTACCTCTAGAAGTCCTTAAGGTCAATATTCAGGAAATAATGGCCGAAATTCTATCTAGGCTGTGCAAGCGGAATGATTACTTTAAACATATCTCCATAGTAAGCCGATAAAGCTTACAAAATCCTACTTTTGGATTCGAGACAAATTCAAGAGAACAGTAGGATTCAGACCTGGCGGAAATAATCAAAATGTAACGTACTGCTGTCAAATGTAGGATTATTTTTTAAAGCTAGTTTTTATAGACACAGTATCCAAGTATGTTAACAAATCAACTTGTACAAAGGGTTGCATAGACCAATGTGGATCATGAGGTGACCTCTAGAAAAGATTATAGAAACTCCAACTAACCAACCAGTGATCCTACCGAAATATCTACAGTTAGCAAGTATATTTGTGACAGCATGCTCTTTAAATATATGGTATAAAGGCATAATACTCAACATGGGAAGATCCCAGTTATTCTATCATACCCTTGAAACAAAACTTTGGCAGAATTAAGTAATAATACTGAAATAAGATAAATAACGTTACTAAAACAATGGACCAGGTGATCAGGTTTCGAAAAGATATCACCTTAAGGGTCTATTTGCATACATTGTGCATAAGTGACCACTAAATACTTCATGTACGATCTCGAGCGAAATAAAATCAGATTGAACATAACCAAATTATCTAGTGAAAATGACCCATCAGAACACCGACTGTTTGGTAAATAGTGATGTACACAAATATAGTTCGTGAGGTCCAACGAATTAGTGTAGGATGATTATGTGCCATGTCACAAAAATCACAATGGTTCATACATGTAAAGTGTTTATAAAAAAATCCTCAAAAACATAAAAACTTTAGTATTGTTTGATACCCACAAAGTGATATTAAAACTGTCAAAATAAAAATGAAAGGTGTGAGAACTTACTTGTCGCATAGTATGTTTGATTGCCCAAATAACGCTATCTAAAATCAGTTTGAACTTATCAGATGTTAAGCTTAACAAAGCGGAGAAACAATGCGCATTTACAGCCTGTAGAAGAGTGAAAAAATTAGTTCGATGTTCAGGAAATTCTTCCAAGTCTTTATCGATCATCTCTAGAGTAGACTGAAAGACCGCATCTAAAACACGAGGCAGAGCTGGGAGAATATGGTCTTCAAGACGATTAACAAGGGTAGCCATTAAGCTTAAAACTTCGGCCTCTCGAGCAGCAGGAAGATTTTTTTGGTAGTCGTCAGCTACGGCATCTAATAGCGGAGGTAAAATGTTCTCTGCCACCTATATAAAAGATAAAAGTGAAGATGAAGCTTTGATTTACGAAGGCTGTAATTTTAACCACGGAGCTGTAATACATGCAAAGTCAGATACTTGTAAACAACTTACAAAAACAGGGTCAGTAGTCCTTTTTATCCAACAAGATAAAAGATTCAATATCGCTTTCTTGACTGATCGCATACTGCGAATAAGTGGTTGTTTTGTCACTTGCTCTCCATTGGTAGCCACAGCCTGGCCAATATTTTGGGACATTATCTTATAAACATTTAACATGTCCAGGTAAATGCGACCAAGCTGAAAAGAATATATATTCTTTTAAGATAAGATTAACTAACTTTAAAAAATCTAGTATCAAAGATTTATGACCATGCTTACCTGAACAAGATAAGAATGTCCGAGGGATTTGCAAGCACTGTGATTTGTTTTCAGTAAATTACAAAGCTGTTGTACAACTTCAAAGTCTCTTAACAGGTCAATATTGCATGCAGCTTGAACGAGAATCCCATCCCAAATCTACATTCGGATAATTTGAAAAGGATAGTATAAAACGTACTTGATTGGGTAATCGAAAAAGTCGTTCTATCTGTCTAGCTTCAACAGCTGAGTCAAGTTGGGCACTGATAATCACTCCTACGGCTTCATAAAATGTGTGAACCTGTTGAGGTTGTAAATCATTGATTATGATATCAATTTCCTTTAAAATCTCTTCAATAAATTCAACTGCTTCTCCGTACTATCCGAATAAGAAAAGTACAAGAATTGTACAGTAAAACCGGAATCGAATTATTAATACATTACAAATGAACAGAATAATGAAGTGTGGAAACATGTTTGTAACTAATCGACAATCTTCATGAGAATATGAAATGTCACCTTACTTCCACATTCATCGACTCGCTAATTGAAGTCGGCTGGAATAAAATGTTTCACACAGAAAATTCTAAAGATCAGAAACCTTATCAGGAAAATTCTTATTATTGTCAAACAGCTGGAGAAAGGTTTATTTGTAATACTGCAACAAATGGTGCTTGTTATGTGTTGGATGGTACGAAGTTGACCATATTTCATTAAAAACTTCAGTTTTTTCCAAGGTTTACTGGTTGGCTTTCAAGTTACTCGAAGATAAATAGAAGTCAAACAAATCTGTAAAAGCCTTTAACAAAAATGTAATATGTATGGTATCATTATGTATTCTTTACGTAAAAATAACACAGATTATACTGTGTCTTTCAGTGAGTCAAGCATAAATTGAGGTGGTCGAAATTGTCATCAGCTACCCAGACTTAGGCAATTGTATAGAATGTGATAGTTTAACGTTTATGAATATATAGAATAAAAACCCGCCTAGTCGGCATCTGAGACTGTTATTAATAATTAAGAATGATATGCAAGATATTTTTATTGAGTTAAATTATGTAAATAATACCTAGTTAGTAATGAGATTTGGATATAAAGGTCACAAAAACAAAGTTTTGTGGTTGATACCATGATGTAGTGATCGAGCTTGGCTATCGTGGTGACTCAACCAAGCAATAACGACCGAAATACATAATCTTGTAGGCTTTGCCATGGTGGTGGGTAGCGAAAGCAAATGAGATAGAAACGACAGTGGCGATAAGTAACAACAGATGACTATTCGAAGAAACAGATATTAAAAACCAGAGTATTAGCAAAACTACTTCGGGAAAAAATGGGACTGTTATTCACTCTACATCCAAGAGAAAAGGCCATACGCAATCTAAAGCTAAGGGGAACAGCAGGGCCTGATGGATTAACCACTGAAATTTGTAAGGATGATGGTTCACTTTGAGCAGTTAGATTAACTAAGATCTTAGAATATGGAAACTGAGTCGACCCAATCTAGAAGAAAGGACAAAAATAGACTTGTAGCAATCACAGAGGAATCAGTTTAAGTAATATAATCTCTAAAATAATACTTCAACACCTAACTAGAGTTCGCGAAGAGTGAACCCGAAGAAATTAAACTGGTTTCAGACTAGGACGTGGATGAGCACACCAAATACTCACCCTTCGGCAGATTCTGGAACATGGACGTGTATTTTAGAAGGAACACTCGTTATTTGACTATTCAGGGGTTGATTTACCAGGAGACTAACTTGTCAACTTGGAGTGTGCAGATGGCAAAGTTCCGTTTGATGAAGACGCTGTTAAAAGCCTTTTGGCCACCTTGTGACAATGTAGGCATGTTTGGGATACAATACTTACCCTCAAAATTCTAGATGTTGCTTAAGGATTGAGCTATATTAGCGCTTAGATTAATGATAGGGAATAAAGTAGTTGAGCGTGTCAACTGCTTTGCTTGTCTTGGGCGTTTCATCAGTACAGATGGTCTTGTGTCCAACGAAAACTCGTCATGGATTCAGAGGGATTGATTGGCTTATGCCAACTTGCGTCACTTGTGGAATAAGCGACATAGCCATATTTCAGCTGAAAGACGAGTTTACTGCGCAGCAGTTTGCTCCGTCCTAATTTCTAGATGTGGAACATGGTCATTAGGAATGGAGAATATTCGTAGGTTGCTGGTAATCGATCATAGGTGTTTACAAAGCATTGATCGCGTAGTTTGGGACCACGGAGTAAGCAATGATTAGGTTCGGAATAAAGTACCAGGTAAAGATGGGAAATCGGCTGATGAGGTAGAACATTTTCATCAACTGAGGTGGTTGGGTCATATCTCACATATCCCCAACCGCCATTCACCTCGACGAGCGGTGCTGTCTGGTGTAGTAGTAGATTGGAAAAAAGCTAGGGGCGATCAAACTAAGACGTGACACAATTGTACTGAGCCATTTTAACATGTATCAGTCAATCAGCAACAACGTAGGACCAGACACGTATATGCATCAGTCCACGTTGCCACACCTCATTAGAACAAGAAGATAAACACCAAATTCATAGAAGTAGTTACCTCAATGGTAGTAACATATAAAATAAAGATTGTGTACAAGGATATAATAAGGGAAGAAAGAATTAGTTCGTAGAGGTATAAAGCAATTTTAATCCCGCCGTTTAAGGGCAGACAAAGAGTGTATACACCGACGCCATTGTGATCGATTTTGAGCCATGTCACCCAGAGTCTCCAACTACTGGTTACAATAGTCCCACGGACCCAAATCAAGTAATCTACACCTATCAATATGGCTCAGACCAGAAGTTAGTGACTTCAAGCACTGATGCCACGTTTTGGTTTGGTCGCCCCTAACTTTCTTCCATCCGTCTTCAACACTAGTCAACATTCCACGTCGTGGTAATCGGTGTTCAGGCATACATAACACGTGGCCCACGCGTCTCAGTCGATGAATATTTACAACTTCATCAACCGATTTACCATCATTCCCTAATACCCAGTGTTTAACCTCATAATACTTACCCGGTAATCCCAGCAGATGCCAGCAATATTTCTAACATCTGTGATCAAATATTAGCAACTTACGAGTATCTTCTACTCTTAATGGCCATGTTTCGCAGCCGTAAAGTAGAATAGAATGAACTGCCCCGCAGTATACTCATCCCTTAATTGATAGACGGATATCTCGCCTTCGCCACAGGTGAGGTAAGTTGGCAGAAGCCGAACGAGTTTTTCGAATCCGTGCTGAGATTTCGTCAGACATCAACCCATTAGGGTTGATCAGTAGTAGGTCTATTATGAAACTGAACAAAAATGGAGATAATGGACAGCCTTGTCAGACACCACTTGAGGTTACACAAAACGAGATGATAGTTCGCCATAAGCTCTGACTCGATTAGTAGTGTTCGAGTAAAGAGCCTTCACAAGGTCTATGTATTTCTGAGGTACACTTTTCAATGACAAACAATGCCACAAAACCTCTCGATCTACAGTCAAGTGCTGCTTTTAAGTCAAGAAAGACCACCATCGTTGGACACCGATAAGGATCTCTGTGTTCTAAAATATGACGAATGGTGAATGTGTGGTCGATATAGCCACGACCAAGCCTGAAGCCAATCTGATTTTTTCGTCTTTGCAGTTCACGAGTCTTTATTAGGCATCCACGTGATTATTGTAACCACTACTCACAGACCTTAAATGACATGGCTCAAAATCGTTTGCAATGGCGCAGATGGACTCACTCATTGTTTTTCTTCAGATACTAAGCTTCTGAATCTCTTACAATCTTAATATTTCACGAATTTATATTTCCTTGAATCATATCTTCTGTGTCTTCTTTTCTAATATCACTGATGCTATCATCTCTACTACTCTAGGCCTTTCCCTAAGAATTTCATCTGACTATGCCAATGGTGTATGGCAACTTGAACTGCTATACGTACTTACCAGGTACCATGCTTAGTTTAACTGACTTACTGACTTGGAGACTCTGTGTGACATGGCTCAGAATCGATCACAATGGTGTAGGTGTATACACTCTTTGTCTTCGCTTAAACTATGAGACTAAAATCATTTCATATCTTCCTTTCTACGAACTAATTCTTTCTTCCTGTACTATATCCTTATATGCAGTCTTTCCTCTATATATTACACCATTGAGTTAACTGCTTCTATGAATCCGGTGTTCGTCTTGCTGTGCTAATGAGGTGTGGCAACTTGGACTGATGCATGTATGTGCCTGGTCCTAACGTTGTAACTGACTGACTGACTTTGTCAAATTATTAAGTCAGTCAGTCAGTCAGCTACAACGTAGGACCAGGCACATATGTGCATCGGTCCAGGTTGCCATACCTCATTAGCACAGCAAGATGAACAGCGGATTCATAGGAGTGGTTAGGTCAAAGGTTGCAATAAGGAAATAGTATAGGAAGAAAGAATTAGTTCGTAGACAGAAAGAATGAAGTGATTTTAGTCTCTTAGTTTAAAAGAAGACAGGGAGTGTATACACCGACGCCATTGTGATCGATTCTGAGCCATGTCACCAAGAGTCTCCAACCATTGGTTACGAAAGTCACGCGGACCCCAACCAAGTAGTCTGCATCTACCAACATGGCTCAGACTAGAAGTTAGTGACTTCAGGCACTGATGCCACGTTTTGGTTTGGCCGCCCAACTTTCTTCCAACCATCCCCTACCCCGGTTAGCATTGCACGTCGTGGTAATCGGTGTTCAGGCATACGTAATACGTGGCCCAACCATCTCAGTCGATGAAGATTCATAACCTCATCAACTGATTTACCATCATTCCCTAATACCCTGCGTCTAACCTCACTATTACTTACCCGGTGATCCCAGCAGATGCCAGCAATATTTCTAAGGCATCTGTGGTCAAATACTAGTAACTTACGGGTGTCTTCTACTCTTAAGGGCCATGTTTCGCTGCCGTAAAGTAAAACAGAACGAACTGCCGCGCAGTATACTCGTCCTTTTATTGATAGACGGATATCTCGCCTCCGCCAAAGGTGACGTAAGTTGGCAAAAGCCAAACGAGCTTTTCGAATCCGTGCTGAGATTTCGTCAGACACCAACCCATTAGGGCTGATCAGACTTCCAAGATAAGTGAAGTTGTCAACGCGTTCAACTACTTCACTCCCTATCCTTAGTTCAGGTGTTGACCCAGACCAGTCCTGAAGCAACAACTTGCATTTAGAGGGAGAGAAGCGCATCCCAAACATTCTGGCATTGTTGCTTAGTGCTGCCAGAAGACTCTGCATTTTGTCAGCGTCTTCACCAAACAGGACTATGTCATCTGCGTATTCTAAGTCGATAAGTGGACCTCCTGGAAGGAGATCAATACCCAAGAATTCAGTCGACGAGAGTGTTATTTCCATCAATAGGTCTATGATGAAGTTAAACAGAAATGGAGAAAGTGGACAGCCTTGACGGACACCACTTGAGGTTGCAAAAGTAGATGACAGTTCGCCATAAGCCCTGACTCGACTAGTAGTGTTCGAGTAAAGAGCCTTCACAAGGTTTATGTACTTCTGGGGTACGCCTTTCAATGACAGACACTGCCACAGAATATCGCGGTCTACAGAGTCAAATGCTGCTTTTAAGTCGAGAAAGACAACCATTGTCGGACGCCGATAAGTATGCCTGTGTTCTAGAATCTGACGAATGGTGAATATGTGGTCGATGCAGCCACGACCAGGTCTGAAGCCAGCTTGGTTCTCTCGAGTTTGTAGTTCACGAGTCTTAGTTAGGCGTTTGATAATTATCGAGGCCAGTATTTTAGATACTATGTTTGTTAAACTAATCCCTCTGTGGTTGTCACAGGATGATTTTGACCCTTTCTTATATATTGGGACGATAAGTGATTGCGACCAGTCCGATGGGATAAAGTCTAATTCTCAGATCTTAGCTAAAATATTAGTCAACTTAATCGCTAAAATTGGACCACCATCCTTAAAGACCTCTGGAGCCAATCCATCTGGACCAGCTGCCCTTCCTCGTTTCAGATTAACTATAGTCTTTTGAACTTCAGCAAGAGTCGGGGGACCTACTTCAATGTTCCATTCACGCTGTCTGGGAATGGAGGGTAGTTGTAGAGTAGCTGAAGGCCAGCTGAACTGTTCCCTAAAGTGTTCCGCCCATCGTTCTAAACGCCTGGACTTGGAGCAGATGAGTGTATCGTCTTTTTCCGATATAATCTCACACTTGACTTATTAATTCCAGTTTCTTTTATTAGTCTGTAAAGCTGTCTTGTGTTCCCTATAGTCGCCGCCTTTTCCATCTCTTTTGCTTTCGATGCCCACCACTGCTCACGGTCGTTTCTTAGACTTTTTCTTAACCTAGATCTGATTTGTTTTCGCTCTTCATCATGTTCAGAACCTAATGGGACGAGTTTGCGAGAATCCATCAGTGTGACAGACCTTGAAGAAATCCACTGGTTCCTTACAACTCTGTGGTTTAAGTCACTAATAGATGTCACTGCTGTTTCCACAGCTGAATGTATGCCCTTCCAAGCAACATCTGGGTCAGCCTCGTCTTCACAACTACCTAAGTGTGACTTCAGTTGTTCCTGGAACCTACTTCTGGTTTTCTCGTTACTTAACTCAGTTCTAACGGGTCTTTTTAATGTGGCTTTTTTGCGTCCAGTGAGGCGCAAGCAGATGCGTGCCCGTATTAGGGCATGGTCGGAGTCCAAGCAGGTACTCCAGAATGAGCGACAATCTTCTACCGACCCTCTCCAACGATGACTGATGGCAATATGGTCTATTTGAGTCCATCGTTGGTTTGGTGTAGGGGGTCGCCATGTTAGACGATGTCTCTCCTTATGCTTAAAATTTGTGTTTGCTAAAAATAAACGATTGTCTGAGCATAGCTGCAGCAGACGATCACCATTATCTGTTCGCTGTGCCGGAATACTAAAATATCCACCTAAATGTCTTTTTGTTTGGTTTAAACTGCCTATCTGAGCATTAAAATCACCTGCTACGAGTACTATGTCTGAGCGTTTAGCTTTCTGAAGAAGTTCGGACAGCTTTCTGTAAAATTCGTCTTTCACATCATCTGAGCTGCAGTCAGTGGGAGCGTAGGCAGAAACGACAAAAAGGCAACGACGTGTGTTCCTATCCTTCCGAGTTCTTACGTAGCCGTTCAGCCGAACAGCACATAGACGACTGTTGACGGGGATCCACTCTAGCAGTGCTTGTTCCGCCCTCATGCTTAGTGCTATGCCTACACCTGCCAGTCCACGAGAACTTGCCATCGGGTCACCAGATACACGAAGGGTGTACCTCGTTGGCTCTCCGTTTTGCCGAGGTGAGGTCAAGTGAATGACCACACTGGAATCCTGTATGCGTGTTTCGGAGACACAGCACACGTCAATGGTAAGAGACTCTAGGGTTTTAGCCAAGGAAGCCTGCTGACCGATTTGACATAGGTTGCGTACGTTGAAGGCTCCAATGTGTAGTTTGGAGCGAGGTTTCAGTAGACCTGGGACAGTATTTTGCGCACTACAATCGTTGGCTATGGTGACACTTGAGGTGGAAGCCGAGAGAGGAAATTTAAAGGTGAAAGTCGATGTAGGAGGAATAATAGGAAGTGAAGACGGAGGTTGATTATGAATACAGTGGTCTTGACAGCTGTTAGAGGTATGAGGGTGGTTATCACTTCCCGGTTGCCCAAACCGTGGAAGGGTTCTTCTGGAGGTACCTGAAAAGGAATTTGGATTAAAGGTGGTCTTAGTGACCTGAGAGCGTGACCGCAGTGCCCAAGGGACAACTGCTTGAGGTCGGTCACACACGACCTTGTTATGGGTAATTTTTGTGTTAGCTCCGTACTTATTGAGACCTTACCGCCGGAGACGGATATCCGTGGGATAAGGCGAGGTGTGCATTTTTAGGGTCGACCTTTTCTAACCCCACCCCTCCTTGTGGGAAGGCAGCATCGCTGTCATGCTGGTTGTCTGAAGGAAACACCTTACTGCTGTCACACCTCTGTACAGTCAGCAGTACGACTTCGCCTTCGGACCTTGGGTTTGTTGCTTTTAGTCTTACCGCTCTTCAACCGACCTGTCTGACATGGTAGGACCTTGAGGAACGGTTGTTCCAGCCAGTATAGCTCGGTTGCTTCATCACGATAGGCAAGCCCGACCACCACGTCAAGGTAGCAACAACGGTCGGGGTCAAATTATTAAACGTGCATGAGAAAGTAAATTCAGTTTCGTAACTGCATAAAAGAATTCCTGTAACAATTCCTGACGTATAGTCTGCAAAACTTATTTATAAATTGGTTGATTATAAAAATACACACATATTTTGAAAAAGAAATGTAAAAGAAGATACATAGTGTTTACATAATGCAACCAATAATTTATAAACGCGCACGTACCTGTACAGTTACTAATTGTCGCCGACATTTCTGAGCAATTTTTATGAAAGTATCACAAGCCATATCTTGCACACCTTCATGTGTCTCGTGCATGAATTCAAAAAGCTTTGTAATTACAGTTTTTAAGAATCGCCAGTGTGCGCGCAGAAATCGAGGGTATTGACCAACAACGTACATGATGTTGCTCGCAACAATAGCTTTATTATCTTTGCCCCGTTTTTGTTCACACAGTCCAAGAAGGTCTCGAATTACAATAACTAAAAAACTTCTTTCGTCGTCTTCCTGCATAGCACCAGAGATGCTACCGATCGCCCAACAAAGTGTGTTAAGGTTGTGCCATGACCACTCTCGTCCATCTACTTGATGTTGCAACTTCTCGATCATAATCTTCTTTGTATCCTATGAACAATAAGTATACTATTATTGGTAATCAAAGTTCGAAAATCCAGTTTAAGGAAAACACAATATCAAACTTTTTACTGGAAACGGTCGGAAAGCGTAGGAGAGTACTTAAAATGTTTTTCTATGAAAAAAATAACTCATTTAAAGATGATTGTTTTAACTACCAAAGACTTTATAACAAAAATCTATTGCTTCAACAATCTGAGCACTCACAGAATTGCAGGATTGAACTAGCTAACGTCTTGGAACAGAAAATACTTGGTAAAATAATACCGTAGACTGATATTCCTAAACGCAAATCAATCCCAGTTTAATGACAGGCGAGACTTCTTCAGGGATCTGATATGGGTATATTCATGGATATACCTAACCACAGTTTAGATTTTCGAACTGAAAATTCAGTAAAAAGTGGTTGGATGTAGTTCACTGTTTGAAATTACGTACCAACTAATTTTGACAGACAAACACCGGGCAAGTCTGATAGTTTAGTTATATTTGAATTATTATTTTAATATAAAGATGTTGTAACGGGTGTGACTGCAGGTTTGATAAGCAGCGTTTTACCGGTCGATTACAGTGGACACGTAAACACGTAGTGGACGACCTAGTGCCCTGATTGGCCCTGCTTTGCTGTCTGTCCCAGCCAGTTGAGTCAAGAACGCAAGTCACAGCCTCTGGAGTTATGAATCATTGTATTTCAGACATACTCTATTTATATACCAAACAAACAAACCACATCGTACCATAAAATAGAAAACAACATTTACACAATATTTAACAAGTGAAATAAACATCGACCAATAGGAAATGTACATTTAAGGTCCAAGGCCACCATAGACTTAACACGATAATTATTGGTATATTTTTCCGACTATCCTAACAAAAGACAAATCCTTAAAGTTACGAGGAATGTTTACTAATTAGTAATTACTATTGAAAAAAATGCAAAGATTCATAAATAAAAATAGATAGGTGGATATCATGAACAGAAACATATTTTCCTGATCACGATTAGGAAGAATTTTTATAATCCCTTTACACGATATTAATTCATTATGTATCTGGTCTACTGATTTTGATAGTTTACTATGGCATAACGAACGAAATGATAAATAAACTCACTTTCTTATCACATGAACAACTCAATAAATAAGCATCTACCTATCATGGCGTACAACATTGTGAGAAGCAACAATATTGTAGTGATCACCGTGAAACAGGGATTTCACACCTTTTACACTTAAAATGATCGTCGTCGTTTACCTGACAAATGTTAACAACCATTGACTTTGAATCTTCGGATCATGGTTCAACTAATTTTGATTGAACACCTGAGTAATATCACCAGCACTCATTAAATGTGTGGCTCAAAGTGAGGTACATAAACCTGTAACTGGTTTAACAGTTACCGTATTTGATTGATATTTAGTCATCAAACTACCAATTTATTTCACTAGTGAGCATCCGAAGATGTACAGCAGTCGATCCAAAAAAGTGTCACCTAGTTGTTTAAATCTAAAACACTCAATTTTGTTTCATTAATCAGAGTTTGAACAGTCCAGCATTACTGTAACACATGTACAAGAGTAATTCTGCATGTACCTCTTCTAGTATTACCCTCGGTCCCAAGCCCGGATACAGGACGGTTGCGCATGGGGTCGGCTACACCATTCCGTAGTAAACAACCTTGTTATAGATGTCACCCCACCAATAATCGAGGTCAGAATGGCTATGAGACAAATGAAGTGCGGGAAAGCAGTATGATTAGATAAAATACTAGCTGAAGCATTGAAAGTCAGACACAGAAGTAACTGCAAATACACTCTACATTTTATTCAAAAGGTATGAGAAGAAAAAGTGCTGACAAGTTGGAGATAAGGATACCTCGTCAAAACAACAAAGAAAAGATATATCAACAAGTGTCACAACCACAGAAGCATCACACTACTATCAGTACCAGGAAATGTTTTCAACAAAGTATTTTTGGAGAGAATGAAAGATTCAGTAGGCTTCTAACTTCCACATCAACAGGCCGGATACCATAAGGAGCGGTCGTGCACAGACCAAACCGCAACACTACGGATCATCGTCGAACAATCAATTGAATGGAACTCGTCACTATGCATCAACTTCATTGACTATCAAGATGTATTTGACAGTGTGGATAGGAGAACATTATGAAAATTTCTTCGACACTATGGTGTACCTGAGAACATCGTCAATATCAAACGGAATTCATACGACGAACTACAGTGCAAAACCGTGTATGGAGGACAGCTGACAGATGCATTCATAGTGAAGATCGGTGTCAGACAATACTGCTTACTCTCTCCGTTTCTTTTTCTTTTGATGTTCCAATAAATTATGAAAACCGACACATCTCAGGGGAAGCACAAATTACACTAGATACCTTGGGGACGGTCGGATGATTTGGATTTCCCAAATGACTTAGTCCTTCCATAACAAACACTGTGACAAATTCAGGCGAAGACAGTCAGTGTAACGACTTGCGTCGTAGCAGATCTCAACATTCATCATGGAAAACACAAGACCCTAAAAAACAACACACCCAGCACAAACCAAGTCACAATGCATGGCATAGTCCTGGAAGAGGTAGGATCCTTCACGTACCTAAGTAAGATCTTTAATAACTAAGGAGGATCTGATGCAGTTGTGCAAGGATTAGCAAAGCGAAAGCAGCATTCCTACAACTGAAGAACATATGGAACGCAGAACAACTACCAGCCAACGTCAAATTCCGAACTTTTAATACAAGCGTCAAGACAGTTCTACTGTACGGAGATGAAACTTAGAGAACTACTATGACAATCACCAGAAAAGTACAGACATTTATAAACAGCTGTCTATGTAAAATGCTCCAGATCGGTTGACTAGATGTTCTTAACAACAACCTACTGTAGCAGAAAACAAACCAGATTTCAGCTGAGGATAATATCGGGAAAATAAGCTTGAGGTTGATAGGATATACATTGCGGTAATCATCAAGTTGCATTACGAAGCAGGCCTTAACTTGGAATCCTAAAGGTAACAGAAAAGCGCAAGACTAAAGAACATATTGCGCCGGGAATCGAAGCCACACATCAGAAGGATGAATAATAAAGAGAAACAACTGGAAAGGAGAACCCAGGACAGGGTTGGTTGGAGTATCCTGGTCGGTGGTCTATGTTCCACGAGGGGTAACAAGAGTAAGTACATACAAGTGTGAACCACAGTTTATTTAACAAACCTGTTAATGAATTGCATTTATTCTTCTGGGTTGTACAAAGTTACAGGTATACAAATTCCAAGTATATTTGATGAAATTTATAACGCCAAGCAAAGGATGCGGGGATTAGAGATTAACTCGTAAATCTTAAGTTTCAACTGCACATTATACTTAGATGTTTGTGATGACTCTATTACTAAATTATATACACCGTTTTCACTAAAACTTTCTGGTATAAAAGCCAATAATGCTGGTCAAATATTTCAACCAAAATAAGAGTGCGATTGGGACGTACAATCATGAAGTTTGGTTAAAAGTCGAATGCTTTAGCCATCAAATTATACATCCCAAAATTACTGAATAAACGAAAAGCAATGGTTTAAAGTCAAACTTCTATTAACTAAATTCCAAATATTTTCTGTTTAGTTCACCAAATCATTAATTTGATTGATAATTCGAGAAGTCATCTGTTTCGTGAAAACTAGTTCACGAATTCATGTCCTGATCATGATAGATATTTTTGCAGACTAACCAAATGCCATATGTAAAGTGAATGAAATACATGGACTAATTTATATTGAATTACCACCTGATTTTAAATATATTGAACTTGCAAGTGTACACGAAAAAGCAGTAATTGTTAGCGGGACATAGACTAGATTATAGCATGCTCAATGCATGATTGCTTTGGTGCACGCTGATTGGCTAATTCTTATCCAGTCAGCACTAGTCGATAGTTGGAGAATACTCTGGAATCTTCTTATGTAAAAACTATAAGTATACTGACGTTTTCCCTATTGTGCTTCTGACTCGCTTCTTACTTCCATCTAACCTTGTTATTTGGAATATAATCTCTTCCTGTTCAACAGTGTTTTGATTTTGGGACTTGTCGAGTGAATCGGTGTCCGAGAATACTACGCAATAGGAATAGCTGGGTCATAACCGTAAGAGAGAGAGTTATAACAGTAATATAAACGTGAGTAAAACTAAACGGAACTTACAGAATAATCTAAATGAGTTAGGTATACCAATGTTTCGCGCATGCTCTTGTACAAATTAAGACTGTCTGTATCCTTCATAAACTCTCTGACAACCTCACCATGTTCATTTTCAACTACAAGTACTTCTTCAGGACGAGCCATGCGTGAGATCATGATTCTTCGAAGCTGAGAATAGGAAAAACGTCAAAAATAATTTAAAACTATTGATAAACTTATAGTATTTACGGTGGTTGTAAAGAAAACGGGTTGCCATGATGCAACTAAATGACTTTTAGTCATGACGTGACACAAAAACTTGACCTATTGGATTTGGTAGCTAACCAACAGCGGAAATGTACGATGATAACACGGTTATTCCTTCTATAAACAAAAGACATCATATGGTGTTAATAGGTCCAAACTGTTAAGCAATCCCTTTGAAAGAGAAAACAATCAACAAAAAAGCAAATACATTTGTACTAACATGTGTAAAAACTGAGTAAAGATAGGCGAAGGACTTAAAGGTCTGAACAGCGGAAATACATGACCATGATTTAGCAGGAAATATGTGAATCCCAACAATGAAGCATATCGTCCCTTTTTTTAAAAAAAAAAAGACCTATTTTAATTTATTATTTGGAATAACAATTTCAGAATAAAACTTAAGGTGTACAACTCTTAAATCAAGCAAAATTCTGCATCGGGATTGAAGCGTCAGAATATATAATTAAATTATTTCATTATGATGCGCGTGCAAAAGGAGACCCTTGTAATGTTATTACTAATGTCACTATTCATAATGGTCATAAGACACCAAAAGTAAGACAAACTATTTGTTCAGTTGTCTCGATTAGGATAATTGCACTTTTCCGCAGTGATCAGTGTCTATTTCCAGTACCGATACATCGATAAAAAAACGAAAAAAGTAATCGTATTGACCCTCTATTAAGTAAAACAAATTTCTGGATGAAAGTAAGAATACCTTAGACAAAATTGGTGCATATTGTTTACTTCGACCTTCACCAGTGGTGGATTCAGCCAATGTTCCAACTACCGTAGTTGTAAGACTTTCTCGATATAAATCAGAAACTAAAATATTCCAGTATTCTAAACAAATCTTGAATATTTCCCTTTCTTCGACTTCCGAGAGCATCAAAAGGTAAGCATAAGCATCTTGTAATTTCCAAATAAGCTCAGGTTTCTCGACGAGACTGCTATGACCTTTGAGGAATGTTGTGTAAAAAATTGCCAGGTTTTGGATAAAATTCTGTTCATCATTACTTCCGCGCTCGTACGCCTCTTTTAGTCGTGTTTCTAAAGGCAACATCTGTATAACAGTTACTAGATAATATGAACCAACTCACTTCTTTTAGTTTTTCGGTAGTAGAAACAAACAGTTCTACTAGCTGGGTATCATATTCGTCAACTAATACACCCGCTGAACAAAAATATATCAATACAAAAAATGAAACATACCTATTTCTGCAAGGCATTTTAAAGTAATATTTCGGAACAGAGGGACATTGAAGAATTTAAATACTAAGGTTTGTATTAGATTAGTTTCAAATATATATCCTAAGGGAATCCAATGCATAAAACGAAGTAACGTCTCTAGCGTCGACACAACTAGAGATGCATTTTGGGAATTTTCCAGGACATATTGACAAAGCTGAAAAATTAAACTGAACTGTTGGCACATAGAGTCTTTTAAATGTTTGGCTTTTGTTTGAGTCATCTGACCCAAAGAGAAGTCAAAAACTTCTTCGCTCAAGAGACGCAAGATGACCATATTGTTCTGACATAAAGATTCATTTGTCTTACTTGCCCCAACAATGTCACTAATGAATGTTGACCAATTATTAGGCCATTCATGCTTTAATATCTGAAGGAAAGTAAGTCATAAATTTTTTTTACCTCAACCAGAATCATATTTAACTTGCCAAGATACGTCTTTTCAGACTCCAAGAGCTCCGAACTGGACGATGTTTGGATTATCAAACCAACGATGTACTTTTTGATACCTAAGAAGACAGTTTTGGGTTACAGTACTGGTTACCTTCACATTGTGGTCGGGCTAGGACTTTCCAACGTGTTTTGATTAATGCTTCAAGTATCTGAAGGGCGAAATATTTCGTTTCTTGGTTTGAACTGAATTCTAGAATCGAATCCACGCGCATCCATGCATCCGGATGTTCCTTGAGTGTATTCAGGACTTTCTCTGCGATTTTTTGTTGATCGCCTGCTTCATGGTACATACAGTTTACGACACGATCTAGAAGTCCAATATCGAGGCGCTGAGAAAAGTCTAAAAGTTGGGCGGCAGCAGACTCAGATATTACTCCCATCGGTGACGTTGGTGGCATGTATCGTGTTGTGACTAAAACTAATATAAAATAGTTTCGTAGCACTTTAACACCTGCACCAGTTTGATCACAAGTAACATATAAACGCGAATCAAAAGGACGTACAACCTGATACATGCAGCTATCCAAATATCCAGTGAAAAATTCACATGAATTAAAGGAAATTGTAACTACGTCAAAATAAGGTAAAGTAGTTAGCTGCTTAGTGCCTTAAGTTGAAATTTCGAGCGCATTCAACCTTAACACATTTACATTCACAATATATTAAAGGGATATAAGCTGGATGGTTACACTCCATGCCTCGCTCGAATTACCGATTAATAACTAAATGAATTGTTTTGAAAGAAAGAACTCACTTTTCGCCTTGCCCTTTTAAAAGAAACTTTAGATAGAAGATAGATGCTGACTGTATACAAACTCAAGTTGGACATAACAACAGCTAAAATCATAACTAAATGTATGCTTCATCATATATATATATATATATATATATATATATATATATATATATATAGTGATAACCATGAATTATGATTCCATAACGTCATTTACTCGAATAGTTAGAAATGTTTTAAAATACGAAAAATGTAAGGGCAAAGGTCTTATGAACATCATCTGTGATATTTTTAGAACTTGAAACAAGACTAGGTATTAACTAGTGGTAAATATCCCGAAATGAGAACGTGTTATGTAACTTTTTCAGAAATAACAACCTACTGTAACGTGGTGGACAATGTCCCAAACTCTTAACGAAAAAGGGCAATCTTGTTGCCGACATATATTACCCTATCTTTGGTATCTCAAGACACAAATTTGACTGTTATTGCTAACACAGTAGATTAGTGTCTTTAGCTCAAGTCTTAGTTAGACGATTACAATTACCCTGAAAATCGTTATAACAGTATTTACAAGTTTTTGTGATGAACTATTTTGTTTGTAAGCAAACTGAAATTTATGGAATCGAGCAATTCATCCGAATTATCAGAAAACATCCAAACACCAAGGGTTGACTTACGAACTGTATCTTGAGGAATGGGGACTTATTGCGGACAAAAAGTATCAGATCTTCAGTATATTTTGAACCCGTATGTCTGTCAGAAAAACCGGTTTATAACCGGTTTCACGTGCGAAACACCAGACTCCTCAAGGCCATCCATTGACAAACGACAACAGATACTAAAAGTATAAGGTTTCGGTGTAGTGCTAACACAGTTTGTGGTCTTAAAAGTATTAAATATTGTTCTCGCTCTGGTACGAAATGATAAATAAGCAACAGGGTGCGGTCAGGAATCTGATTCATCGTTGCTAGGACTTACATTTACTTGTAATTAGCAAAGCGTTATTAAATCCGATTACAGTCTGCTCCTGAATAAGAATATTCAAGTATCGTTAATATTTACTTGCCATACAACAATGACGTGCAGAACTCGGGCACGTCAAACGTATGGAAACACATGCATCGTAAATTATACAAGCAGTATCAACAGTACGCTGGACAATAAAATCAGAATCCTGTCCAGAAAAGGATTCAGTGGTGATCCGGAATTCGTTCAACATAGCTACCATATAACAGGTGCTTTCACTGATACCAAGAAACTATTCCTTATGGTCCAACAATTTTCACACGATTCTGAATAAAACATGAGTGTGGCTGAAATTTAGGTTAGTGGGAAACTGTTAAACTAAGTGTCTACACAAAAATTAGGAGTAGTTCTGGCCCAGCTCTACATAGTTAAAAGAATAAACCATAAAGCAAAGCTTGCTAAGGACTATACGGAGTGCTATCAATGTCTGTTTTCTTACAAAAATTAGTGGTAGAAGGAGTGGTGTGACAGCATTATATAATTATTTATTTCAACACATGAATACTCGTAAAATTGGGTACCAAAATAAATGCACATCACAAACAGGGAAGTGAAGTTGAGCAAAGATTCGGAGAGGAATATGGGTATAGTCTAGACAAATAAATAAACAAACACAATTTACATTAGTATGCTACGAAAGAACTACTCATTTAAGAAAAGTACAATCCAGTGCACTCCTTTCAGTTAAATGTGTTAGAAGTAAATGAAAACGATTGGCCTCTGTTCTGGGCAATTTCCGATAACGTCTCAAGCCACTGAGCAACACCATCTCTCAGACATCAGACAAGATGTCGTGATGGACTGATAGATACCTATACCATACAATTTTCTTTCATACCACAGCCCCTTGTCATAAACTGACCGCATCCGCACTTTATCTTACAACTCCAAAAATCATCAACTAATGGATAATGTGGAATTCACTGGGATAATGTTCGTAACACCTGGCCGAACTACCAAAATGATGATACCGAATGGGGTATCGTCACTGCATTCAAACTCACATTCCCACACTTCCGTATGACTAACAGAGTGTTGTCTCCGGATATAATCAAACCTTCGGGGAAAACAATGATCGAACAGGAGTTATCAAATTTCATCAGACTGAGAAGGATAAGCTTCATCAGCATAAAGCGAAACTGCGCTCACCGACGCCCTGAGGATCTAATTTTTAAAGATCAGAATAGAAACGTGACGGTGACAACGATGGTCCGAATTAACATAGGCCTCTCGGACCTTCTTAACGCCTGAATTGATCCCGTAGCTCGCGGAACCACCAAAAGTGACATAGCAGCCTAAGTACACGAATGTTTTGACTGCTTCTTATTGCTTACTACTAAGATTGAGTGTGGACACGAGTGTTATGAGAGGACTGAAAACATCTGGCTGATTAAAACCCTTATATTGAATATTACTAATATCGCTGTGTTTTTGGATGTATTTGTTTTACTCAACCTCAGAAATTGTTTGTTTATATAGTTATTTTCGAACGTTTTGGATCCTCTTTGTCCTTGGTTTGGTATTTTGGAGTTTATGCTCCAGGAACCTAAAAAATCGAAAAACGACATTTAAGTCAACTATTTGTAAATTACTAATAAACTTTGGTACCTAAATTGGAGCTTGGTTCTACTGTTAATTTTGGTTCATAAATTTCAAATAGATCGATATACCATATTTTAACAACAGAGTAGAGAGCAAAAACTTGAACGTAAGACGGGCTCTCGCCAGTCATTTATAAGTACTTTGCACTCAAAAGATCCAACGTTCAAGGTATACCTACGGACACCGATTGCCAACTGTTGGGGTGCGGATAGCATGACTTAGGTATCATTCCACAGTAAGATGATTTTATCTCAATATTCAGGGTCGAAATGTCTTACATTGGGTAGTAGATCTACTCCACCACTCCTCAATTCCAGAGCTATTTGATGCAACCCTGATAACCCACTGCCTTAGTGAAACAATCAAAGCTCGGTTGTACGCCTGTAGTGGCATTGAACAATAACTGCACAATCCACAAAGCTGAACACGAGACTACTCAGAAAGTAGATATTCAATATTTAACGCGGATAAATACCTAACGATGGAGAAGGCGCGAACAATGAATTGAATGGACTGAGTTGATCGAGTGGCATGGCTCGGCCATGCAGGCGTGGTCCCTGCTGGATGTTATCTTATATCTCCTATTCATATTAAATATATTGTTCTTTCTCGAGCCTAACCTTGTTCTACATCATGTATTGGTAATTGATACGATACAGTGAGTTGGTGTAGTCGATGGTGTGACTTCCACATAAGATCTTATAGATTAGGCAGTTATATCATGACAAATCTACAATTTTAGGATTAGGTCTATTATTAGAGAAGTACTAATATCATAGTAGACCATAATTCTACATTGGTGAGCCCAACTAAAGAAACGCAACCTATTATTATTAATCCTTATATCCACTTCAAATGGTTCAAATGGTTGTGGACGGAATAGAAGAAGCTTTCGCTTAACAGGCTTCCGTGTCTAGTAGCAGGGGATCACCAAATCCTCCAGGCAGGAACCTAGGTATGTTAACAGTAAAAGAGGAAAAGAAATTGGTAAATCATAATGTGATGCTGTCCTTGGTCCTTAAGAATAGGTCAAGTTGCCTCTTGAAAGACTCCTGAGAAGTTGCTTGGACTAGCTCGGCCGGCAGCGAGTTCCACTTAAACTTTCACGATCGATTTTATATTTATGTTAACCCTGTATTCTAATAGTCCTCTGATTAATGCTCACATGCATTATCGTAATGTTATATTGATTAGTCCTCATAACAAGCTAGCTCGATCGATAATAAAAACTGGTCGTCTATATTAACTAATTAGCTTTGATGGTTTGTTAACAAGCTGTAATAGCATTTACATGCTTCAGCGACATAGTCTTGTTTAAACATCAAGCTCTAGCAAATATGACCTGTAAATAGCGTAAATATACATTGACTAACAATGCGATCAAGGACTAAATAGTTATCTGGATCTAATTCTCAGTGTTCCTTCACTTAACACCTCATCCTGTTTTAAACTACGCACTATCCTGTAATATCTTTTCTTCCGACCACTGCCTGCCTAAGTTCATATTCTCGAGTTCCATTGCCAAACAACAAGGATGACACTTCTCCAAAAAAATACGGTGAGTTCCAGCTATAAGTTTTCTGCAATCATAAGTTCATTTTAGATGGCACACAATTATCTGGATTCATTCAGTTGTTCTGATCAGAGCGAGTCCCAAAAACCTCAACAGCATCAAGCACCCTGGAAGTGATTGCCATACTGCATGTTTAATTCTGGATACTTTTGGATCATTACTACTCACGAATGACGTTATATATGTCGTCCACTAAATAATCTAATTTTCAAAAATAATCCAGGCGAGTTCAACTATTTTACTGTATGATTTTTTTTGTACCTAACATGTATATATTTTCCAGTTGCTTTTGCCACATATTTGTAAGTGTCCCTAGGCTAAATCCAGTAACTTCTTATGGAATAGTTATAACGCGTCATATTCCTGCCTAAAGTTTCATAAGCAGTCTGGTCGTGTTCATTATTTTTAAATCGTCATATACATCAACAACCTGCATGTTAATCTGGCCCATACATACGTTACACTATATCTCCATGTCTTCTAAATTTAGAAATTATCTGAATCGCCTTAAACATTTATCAGTAAACCCATCATAGTCGTTGTTGCTAATCGTATTTGGGTTTATGGATTGGTTTATCATAGTAGCAGCCTAAAATGCGAACATAGTTTAGATAATAAGATTAAAAATTTAGGTACTATCAACTGCACTAGTAAAATAACTAAATCCTCAGGTAGCTGTTGGCTAAACAAACGTTTAAAATCAAAACTCCTTAGCCTACTAGAATTAACACTAAACTAATCTTTCTGATATAAAATTTATAATTAAATTAGGCGTCTCGAATTCTTTGACGTTACAAATTTCTGATAATTTCGAATCACCTAAAGCAACAATACCTATTTTTCCACTGACTAATCCTCATTCAACACTATAACTAGTTAAACATAATAGTTTCAGGATATCGTCATAAAGCATTGTCATGACTTGACAATCACGTAATACGATTGATAAAATTAATGAAACTATTAACAAAATCGGTCAGCAAATTGACTTACAATTATCAATAGTGTTGTTTTCTTGGTATCTTCATTCGCTACAGATGATTACAGTATGTTTCTCTATCAGTTGCTCATTCAGTAAATATCTCAAAACCTTGTCAGTCTAATTGATGTTTTAGCGACACAATCATGCATGCAAATAATCAGTATAAGCAGTCGAGCAAATCTCCTGCAAACTGAAAACATCAATGTCGAATTTACCCCAACACTGACTAAGGTTCAAGCCATTATCATAGACATGATTTGGGAGTGTACTCCCCCTGGTTACAACTTATGTTCTCCCTGTTAATCACATGAGCATCACTCACTATTAATCATCTTGTAAAAACTTAGTTAGCTAAATACATCTTGCAGCACCACATCAATTCGTAATATGACCCATAGGCTTAACTGATTTTAATAACTTATAACCACTATATCTCAGTTAAATCGTATTCCGCCTTATGATAAACTGCATACTTGCAACTAACTTGTATGCCCAATCAGCCGGCAAGTATAAATATA